TGTCAGATCTTGTGAAGGGGGTTCTTGGTTCCATTTTTTTTGCCTCGAGTAATTTTTATTTTGTGGCCTTCCAGTATTTTTCAATTTTCTTAGCTGGCTTCAAGTGACTATTTTTATGAAATCGACCTTTAGGTAAAATATTTCCAAAAGTTAAATTTACCTTTGCAGTGGAATGCTCTTGTCAGGCCCTGTACTCTGTTTTACTGTATTACTGTTAAGCAGGCCTTCGGTAATCTCGGATTACTGGCCGGTTACGGTGCTAAACCCATAGGGCCGGGTTTGGGTCGTGACACTTCCAGTATTTTTTCAAATTTTCTTAGCTGGCTTCAAGTGACTATTTTTATGAAATCGACCTTTAGGTAAAGTATTTCCAGAAGTTAAATTTACATTTGTAGTGGAATGCTCTTGTGTCATAAGCGCATCTTGTTCCCGTGCTTCCTCCTCCACCCGAATCCATGTGATTAGAGTCTCCAAGGACGTCTATTTTTGCTTGTGACGCATTGACTTCTAGAACTCCCTCCAAGATAATGAAAGTTTGTAAACAATACCTGCTACAACAAGATTGTCTCCAATTTTGATGCCTTCAGATCTAACTTCAGCTAGTAACATCTGAAAATCTTGAACTTGCTCCACCACTGATTTTCCATCTATCATCTGATAGCGGAAAAAACGGCTTGCAGCATATTTTTTAGCGTCTGCCTCTTCAATGTCATATTTGTTCTGCAAGGCTTTCCAAATTTTCTTGGCAGTGGTGTAAGTAGTATCATAATAACCATAAAATTGATCTGAAAGACAATTTAAAAGATAGTATCGACATTTATACTCATATGTGTTGTATTTTTTGATTTTTTCAAGATGAGCAGCATACTCCTCGTCGGTCAACTCTTCAGTGGGGACTTTGTTAGGATTTTTCTCGGTCAGGATATACGCCACCTTGAGGAGACTGAGGTAGAAAAGCACCTTGCCTTTCCATCTCCTGAAATGAGCTCCCTTGAACCGGAAGGGCTTGTTGAGATCGCCGGTATTCTCATTGCGCTTCTCCAGTACTGGTTCCATGAACTTTTGCTAGTTGAATCTCCTTAAAATTGTTGGTGATACTTACAAATAAAACACTAGAAAATACACAAGATAAAAGTTACAACAATTAATATAAGGGCTGAGGCGCGGGAAATTCGCTCTCTTTAAAGAGATTCAAGCCCTCTGCGGTTAGGCAAAGCCTCACACTGATGCAGCAGAAAAATCTTGACTTGTCCCCCCTAGGATACAACAGCCCGACTAAGTCTTTGAATCTCCTTAAAATTGTTGGTGATACTTACAAATAAAACACCAGAAAATACACAAGATAAAAGTTACAACAATTAATATAAGGGCTGAGGCGCGGGAAATTCGCTCTCTTTAAAGAGATTCAAGCCCTCTGCGGTTAGGCAAAGCCTCACACCGGTGCAGCAGAAAAATCTTGACTTGTCCCCCCTAGGATACAACAGCCCGACTAAGTCATATGATTCACCAATACTGCACAATTAATTAAACCCAAAGCTTTATCACACACACCCTTTTTATTTTCCTGATAATCTCACTCAAGACATAACAACACAACCAAAACTTTTTCACTTCTCGTGTTCACCTAAGATAGGACATAGTTCAAATTATATATAAGAGCCTATCTTGGTGGCTAAGTAAAGATGGACTTAGAATGGATAAGTCTTGGTGGACCAAGACCAAGACTTGCAAAGACTTGGAGATTGTCTTGGTGGATAGGGAACGGATGACTTGGAGAAGACTTGGATAGATAAGCATGGTGGACTTGACCAAGACTTGGAAACTTACATTGGAAGTCTTGGAAAGGATAAGAATAAGGAGACTTGAAAACTTGGAGGGAAAGAAAAGAAAAGCCAACGATAACACATTAACACATTATAATATTAAAATACCTGCTAACAATTTGTTAAACGATTTAGATAAAAATCAAGGACATAGTAGTCATTTAAATGGAATGGACCATTTAAATTGGAAGAAATAACTAGTTATTTTAATTATTTTACAGCTCTAATAGACTCTTTAAATGCTAATTTTATTCAACTATATCTTTTTTTTGCTCATTACGTTTAGAGAGTCATTGAAGATTCTTCAAACTTCAAGAAACACTTCATCTTCTTTCCCTTCAATCTCTAACGCAGGCGTAGACGTAGTATGCTATAAAACCCTATCAATCATAAATTAATTTGGATAAAAAGCTAGATAAAGAGCAGTGTTAGTACTTAGATAAAGTGATTAGTTAAAATAAATATAGTAATTTTTTTTTTGTTTCTTTTAGCTAGTAAAAAAATTATTAGCACGATTAAAATTACTCGAAGACCACTCATGTTACTTTTTATTTCAATTTGAAACTATCCTCATTCACACGTGCTCTAACAATGTGGTCTCACATTTTAACTTTGTTTATTCGACAATGAAATATTATGCTTCAATTTGTAAGAATATTTTCATGATTGATGCTTTTTCATGGCCAGTATTGTTTTGAATGGGTATGTCTTGCTGACCGAAAGAGATTCTAAAGTCGCGTTTGGATAAAGATGGAATTTCAAATCTCTACTAAAATTTATGATCCAAACAGAGTCTAAGTATTTGTGTGGTTGATGCTTTTTCTTGCTTTGGATGAGTACAATGTCATTTTTTAAGGAATGAGATTCAATGTGTGGACTGTGTGAACTAAGCTGCTTTATTTATAGATATGCTTCCATTCAAAATTCAAACAAAACAACCAAAAGAACAAGTACTCAATAAGTATGCAGGAGATAGTGTGGTAGGTCTCATATGACTTTTCTTCAAATTTACTTTCACTTTTGTAGTAACAGGAATGCAAATTTGGAAATGATAATGAATGGTTGTATAAAGCATTCTACTTCACTGTAGTCTAGGTAAAGACGGAAAAGTTTAGTCCAAGTTCTCAAATTGTGCTGCACTTCAGTATTTTTGGCACAATTGAAAGTTCATACCGAACTAAACTCTCCAATCTTTAGCCAAATTAAACAAAAAAAAGTCATTTATCTTTTTCAAATGCAATATTATGTGAATTCATAAGGATTTATTTGTGAATTCCAATTTTCGAAGCCTCCCATTACTCATAAGGTGTCTACATAAAATTATTTAGAAAATTGTCTAAAATTAAATTTATAGTTTTTATTTTCATAAAATTTTATTTATATTTATTTATAAAATTAAAAATCATAAAAAAATTTGTTTGGTGCCTATTTTCATATAAAAATTCACTACAAGAAAAAAACACTTTTGGCGACTAAATTTTTAGTCGCCAAAAGTCCTCTTTTAGTCGCCAAATGTAGAATTTTCACTTTTCTCGACTAAATATTTTAGTCGCCGCTGTGGTCGCCAATACATGGTCGCCAATACCTTTGGCGACTAAAGATTAGTTAGTCGGCAATATACAGCCAATAGTCAATTTCAATTTTGGAAATTATACATTTAGCGACTAAAGTTTTAGTCACCAATAGTGAATTTATTTATTTATTTATACATTTGCCGACTATTTTTTTCGTCGCCAATAGTCAATCTTTTGGCGGCCACAGAGTTTAGTCTCCAAAAGCATATTTAAAAAAAAAAAAAAAAATTACCTTCTGTGCCTGAGACCTCCAGGTTCCAAAGCTTTACAACACACTCCCCCCCCCACTATGCCACTAAACCATCACATGAATGTAATTGCAACATATATTATTTATATATTACTTTGACCGGTATTAATACAAAGCAATATATATAAATATAATTATATATATTCAAATATAATTTATGTAAAAAAAAAATTTATTTATTAAAAAAAAAATTTATCTCAGTTTTGGCGACTAAATCCATTATTTAGTCGCCAATTCTACAATTTTAGGCTACTAATTAATTTTGCAGTCGCTAAAAAAAAATGTTGCGCCTAAAAACACACCTTTTGGCGACTAAACCTGTTTTTAGTCGCCAAAAACGTCCCCTTTTGGCTACTAAACTGAATTTTAGTCGCCAATACTCAGTTTTTAGCTACTAATTTTTTTTTGTAGCCAAAAAACTTCACTTTCAGCGACTAATCTCGTTTTAGTCGCCAAAACACCTACCATCGGCGACCAATCTGCTTTTTAGTCGCCAAAACTAGCACCTTTGGCTACTAAATTGTTTTAGTCGGCAAAAACCATCACTTTTGGCGACGAAAATTGTGTTAGTCGCTGAAACCCATATAATAGGCGACCAAACTGATTTTTAGTCGCCAATACATATACATTTGGCTACTAAATGGTTTTAGTCGCCAAAAGTCTTCATTTTTGGCGACTAAAATGGATTTAGTCGCCATTTGTGCAACTTTCAGCGACGAAATTCATTTTTTTAGTCGCCATTGGTGCTTTTTGTTGTAATGATTATAAACAATTTATAAAATTTATTAAATTTTTTAACCAAAAAAAATTATTTTACTAGTTTGGAAAATAAGTTTTTATTTATTTCTCCGTCTCCCGCCTCGTCCAACTATCACCCATCCAGCCACCCCTACCTACAACCACCTTCACCGGCAACCAACACTGACCACCAGTTATTATGACTAGCAACTACCTCCAACCACCACCAACCACCTCCTGTTGGTGGCAATTAATTCTTATCAAAAATCACCTTCGGCCACCACCTTTGGCGGCTAACAACCACCAACTTTTAACTGCTAACCACCATCTTTTGTTATCAACAAACACCTATGACTACTGCCTCTTGCCAACAATCACATCAGGCCATTTGTCTAATTTATTTTCAAAATATCAAAATGTGTAGCAAGTATGATTTTATTTTCGTTTTTACTAAGCATAAGCTATAGTTGACTTGGCCATCTAAATTATTGGCCCTTTTCCTTCCACAATGTGTGTTCAAAGCAATGCAATGGCAAAGGTATAGAACAAGGTGGCAGATGCATTGGACAAAGTGAAACATGAGATAATTGATGTTGATCTTGAAGGCATTACTCATGAGGGCTTCATCATCAAGGCCAAACTCTTGGTTGAAAACCCCTTCACTCGGGACATTCCCACTAGCACCATATCTTACACCTTCAAAATCAATGAAAGGTTTCTATATACATATATATATCTCACTAATTATTTATTTATTTATTGAGAAAATTACGAAAAAAATGGGATTTGGGGTAAATAAGTTACAGATATGGAGAGAATCAATTTTTATTACGATAGAGATAAAAAAAAGAAAAAAAAATTAGAAAGAGAAAGAATCCACCCTTGAATTTGGCAAAATACTACTCACACCATCCCCCACCACTCCCAACACCTCAATTGCCCACTTGTAACCCCTTCCCTACCCATCCGCACACCACCATAACACCCTCAACCCCTCTTTCACGACACTCCAACCTCTTGCGATCTCCTTTCAAAACCCTACATCCTCAATCCCCTATACCACTAAACAATTTCCCCATCTCTCTCAGTTGTGACCCCTTTCTCAAACCTTTTGGAATTAAAAAAAAAATAATTAGTATTTAAAAAAAATAAAATATACGTATAGATTTAGATTTCTTATTGATTTCTTTCCTAATATGATGTGTTTACTCCTAACAAGGGTGATTGCAACTGGTACCATACCCCCAAAGTCATTGAAAGCAAATGTGAAGACTAAAATGGAAGTGCCAATAGAGATTGCTTACAAAAACATACCAAACTTGGGGAAAGAATTATATAACATATTGGCTGAGACTTATGTCACACTACAACAAGTTGGGTCTTGAATGACGAAATTTTTTTGTCTCCAAAGAGCTAATTTCGTCACTATAGATATTTGTGAGGAAATATTTTCGTCACCGGTTTCGTCATTGAATGTTTGTCACTAAAAACCACCGTGATGAAAAATAATTTCGTCACCAATAAAATTACTTCAGTGATGAAATTTTTTGTCACCAATAAAACAACATTTTGTCACTAAAAATTCTCATTTTCGTCACCAAATAGTTATTCAGTACCATATTTATGACTTTAGTTGACAAATAAATTTGTCACGTATGTTGATCATTGATGAGGAAATAATTTCGTCACAATATAATGTAAAGGTGACGAAATTTTTCGTCTTCAAAAGTCATAATTTTTTGTCACCAATAAAAGAACATTTTGTCGCCAAAAATTCTCATTTTCATCACCAAATAGTTGTTCAGTACCATATTTATAACTTTAGTTGACGAATAAATTTGTCACGCATGTTAATCATGATGAGGAAATAATTTCGTCACAATAAGATGTAAAGGTGACGAAATTTTTCGTCTTCATTTCGTCACAAATATATATATACGTGACGAAATTTTTAGTCACCAAACAACAAAATAAATAAAAACTTTCATATATAAACTACAGTAAATTTTGTCACAAAAAAAGTTTATTAGTGACGAATAATCACTTTGTCATAATAACAAGTAGAAATGGCGAAAAAATTCGTCACTAAACTTGTTCCATATTTTATATTCAATTTAAATTATTATTTCACAAATATCTCTGCTCATATCCCAATAGCCTTTTAATTGTACTAAGAAATCCACTAGCTATTATACATTACTCCACAAAAAAATTCACTAAACGATTTATATTATAAATGAAAATATATCCATCAAAGAACTTTAATAATAATCCATTAAGTATCACAAAAAAACCATCAAAGCAAATCCCAAAATGAACTAACGTGGAGTCCAAAAAAAAAAAAAAAAAAAACACTCAATCTTGATTTGCAACTACAACTAAGCATCTGTTTAGGAAAAAAAATTCAACAGTTGATCTTCATTTGCAAGTATGCTTCCGAACGTCATCAAAATCAATCTGCAAAGAAAATAAACAAGGCAAACATTAATATATTATCAATTACATCTAAACTTATATATGAATAATTTTATTTTATAAACCAATTTAGTAGAAACGCATATAACAATTCGAAACTTCAAAGAGTTGAGGTGATCCTTGATGATAAAGCAACACGGATAACAAAAGATGACAAAAGATCGCAAGAATACCATATATCACTATCACTAATGGCAGAATATATATAATAGCTCCAAAATATAATGTAGCATTGAGGTACATTTGATTCACGACAATGGACTGATGACTTCTTCAATGAGGTAAATTTGATTGGTGGAATTCAACACAAGAACCTTGTAAGACAACACAAGAACCTTGTAAGACTTTTGGGTTGTACCATTGAAGCCCCTCAATGCCTTCTTATTTATGACAATTTGCATCCATGTATAAAGTAAAACAAACCCCTCAGTCCTAGTCATTACAACAAAGTTGAAAATGATGGATGCATTTCAACTAAAACTTATGTGAAATATGAAAAACAAACCTCATGTTTACAGTGTATGCATTTTCAACAAAAAGTTGGGATTAGAGAACCCCAAAGAAAGGATTACTACTTGTGTTGTTGGACATGGGTATTACTTGCAGGAATAGACGCGGAGGAAGGAGATGGAGAGGTATGAAAATCTAAGTTCTTGAATTCTTTGACCATATTTTGCATCTCTCCAAGAATTTTTTGGCCTAAAAAATAAAAACACAAACTACTTTAGAAATCACTAGAAGCATATGAATAAACTAACTATTTGTAGAGATTATTCTAGTCTTATAAAAGGTAAAGTCGGACATTTTCTCATCACATTGACTTTTCATCTCCTGCATCAATAGAAAAGGAATAACCATTTTGATTGTTACTAGTATAAATGTTTGGATTACCATATAGATATGACACATGCATAGAATCAACAAATGTAAAATGAAAATCTTCAGTGCATGGCCAGATATTTTAAAGGCATAAAACCAAAATAAAAGCCAACTATTATTTAAATATAAAAAGAAAAAAGAAAAATATATCACATGGTATTAGAAACGATATAAGCCCAAGCAATGCTTGTGTGTAAGTTTGAGCCTTAAGGAATGCTTACAGAGGTGTGAAGTGATTCGATCATCTGCCCATGTTCTTCAGCTCTCGCTAGTAAAGTGATCTTGACAAGAGAAAAAGAAGGGGAGGGGATGTTAGGTAAAAATATGAACCCTGTTGTGATGATATCAATATGTTTCAAATCTCGAAGGAGTAAACAAGGCATAACTTTTCTTTTCTTTTTCTTTTTTTTTTTATTAGTACAACTAAACATGCATAACTATTATTGAGATAAGATAGCAGAAATGTCGACAGCGCATTTTTATCCTTTTTGCAGGCAATTTGCGCGTGTGACGAGGAATAAATCTACACATTAGAGAGACGATCATACTTTTCAACAAGATGTGAATCCTCTCAATTAAAGAGACAAGACAAACTCCCTGTATCACCATTTTTTAGTTTCTCCATCACATGCATAGACAATAAACCAGTAGCAACCTACAAAAAAAAAAAAATTAATGATAATAACAGAATTTATTATTAGAAAAACTTGTTAGTAGTTAATCTAAATTCATTTAACTTAAAACTTTAGACAATAGTGAAAAAATAAAACTTGTGTGATCATAGGATAGGTGATTTTTATAGTTCAATACATCATAACTACAAAAGAATACTGTCTTTAGCATAGAAGTATCTAGAAAAGTAGTTTGCTATAAAGAAATAACACCTGAAGCTCTAATCCGTTTAATCCATAAGATACCTATAACCATCCAATCTTCTGCTTCTTCTGCTGCTTTTTCCTTTTTCCTTTTTCCTTTTTCCTTTTTCTTTTTCAAACATGCATCACAGAAAGGGAAAGAAAAAGAAAAATGCAAAGGAAAGAAAGATCAGTTTTTAACTACAAAAACCACATCTTCCATTTTTAGCTTTTATTCTAATTCCCCAACTTCAAGAAAAAGAAAGAAAGTCCTTTAGCAAAGATAGCTTAAAAAATTTTATCTTGGAAAATGAAAAAGATCGAATATTCAACTATCTAAGCATGTATGAAAGTTTTGGCTCAAATAGAAGATAGTAACTAACAGAAGTAGAAATGAAACTAAAAGAATAAATGCAGAATTGAGCAAAGTCCACTAAAAGTAGATATATGACAAGTAATTGTGACTCGGGAAAACTTTTCTTCTGCAAAAATGTAGTTATCACATAAGCCCAAAAGCATGTGTCGAATTGCACTAACCTAGTATGAGCTTCTTGTTTCCCTGTACAATATAGTTTCCTACTACATTCACAAAGGAGAAGTTCAATTCCTTTCCAATCTGAATAACTTGGTTGCAATTCTCAACTTTTCTAAAAGGCATCTTGATGGGAGGTTTCGTTGCTTGCTTCCAGTTACTGATCTTGGGTAAACTTTGTCAAGAACTTCCAATATAAAGTGACATATCTTTTGCAATCCATTCTCTCTGCATGCTCAAGAATCAAATTCGCTCTTTCAGTAGGATCCTTAGTATCCAATGTGCTAGCATTACCATGTTCTGGTGCAAGAGCATTAAGCAAGTGAGCATAGGCTTTACCAGTGCACAAAGCCTACAAGGTCATTTCAGTGAAAAAAAAAAAAGGTGACTACTAATTCTAAAAAAGAAGAAGTTATAAGATTATAATATTCTGAAGGTATGTTTTGGCTCATTAATTGATGATTGATTGGCTGTGAAAGTTTCTCCTTAAAAAAAAAAATCATGAAACAGAAAGCAAATAAAGAATACAGCACCAAAATCCAGTTTCGGTTAGTAGTTCTTCATTAAAAACTCTTTCATTCTCTATAGAAACCTCTCGCATTACGCTAAAGAATGGAGTTGCTGCTATTAAATAAGCCATGGTGGTGAACTGATCATTCAAGGAAAATAGCATGGAAACAAATTATATAGGATCTCAACTATCCACCACCACCCTATATATATCTCAAAAGTGACAAAGCCACTTTTTTTTTCTTTGACTGAACCTTTTTTGCCTGACAATGGTTCAAATTAATCCAAATTGCAAAAAATAAATCTAACCATTAAATTGTGCAAAAATTCATGAATCATGATGCATGAAGTAGTAAAGAACAGTCCATAATAAAATAGCCAAAATATAAATGTTGAACATGTTTTTGGTTTGATTTTCCCCCCCTTTAGAGGTGAAAGGGGTACCTCCCTAACTTTGCTCCACTACCATATGTAGGACAACAATATTCTGGGTAGTATCATCAAAAAGTACATACAAATCCATTTACCTATAATTATGTATTCTGATAAACAAACTAGTACTACTATATTTTAAACAAGAGTGCTTCGTCATAAAGAAACTAGTGAACTTTTTCTTACCTTCAGATCAGATGACAAATTTGAAACCTATTACTTGTATCCTGCTTTCTTCAATTGGAAATTCATCCATATGAGTAAAACCTTTTCTAGGGGTAAAACCATGAGTTTCTCAACATCCTGCAAATTTCATTTATGCATTTGGTATAATAACAAAATGTAAAACATAACACTCTATTTTTCATTAAAGTAACAATGAAAGGTAATAAACAATCAACATCTTGTGACCTTGCGGTCATCCACCAATTCCAGAAGTTGAGGAGTTTTTTTTAGATTGAGATCAGCTAACAGTTGAATGTGATGTTTCCACCAAATGAAAATACAAAAAGATTGAGAACTTTGGTGATTAAGATCTAAATATCTCTAGAACATATCCATTGAACAAAGTAAAGATACCTAAATCATTTGAGAAATCAACCCCATTACTAGATGCGACTACAATAAACAAACAAACAAACAAAATGAAGATACTACAACAATTTTCATATCAGCAACAAAAAATATTCAAGAACATTTCCTTTTTTCAAAATTTTGTTACAATTCGTACCTAAATGTTTGTTCTAAACTTCAGTTTGAACTCTCTTTGTTAGGAAATTTTGCTTTGTTGGGGAATTTTGCTAACTTACTGATATATTTTTGTTTTTTTTTTTTTTTTTTTGGTGTAAAATGGTGATCGGGGTGAGCCCCGACATGAATAAAATAAGTTGGTGTGCAGTTCATCTTCTTCCTCGGTGTTGTTTTTTTTTTTTTTTTTTTTTTTTTTTTTTTTTTTTTTTTTTTTTTTTTTTTTTTTTTTTTTTTTTTTTTTTAAAAAAAAAAAAAAAAAAAAAATTCTGATATCTTGAAAGCCTCTGCATCAACCAAAAAAAAAAAACCCTAAATGTAGATCAAAAATCATAACCCATTTACTCGTTTCCCATAAATCAAACCCATACAACATCAAAACACAAAAACAAACAAATCCTAGAGCTAGAGTCAAATCGGGAATAGAGAAAAAGAGAGAGACGAAGAGAGACAGAGAGAGAGAGAGAGAAACAGAAAAACCTGATTCAAAATTAATGGGCCTGAGACGATGTACCAATTGTGGCGATGAGATGATAAGCGACGGTGGCCGATGGTTAGTCGATGAGAGGAGACCGATGGGCCGTCGACGAGAGTGAGAGCAAGAGACTAGCGTTGATTGGTATTTCCTCTGTGTATGTATCATTCGAATCATTCGATACATACACAGAAATAAAAAAATAAAATAATAAAATAAATTAAACATAAAATAAAATTAGGCAGTAAATATTCTCCTCAAAAACTTTTGATCATACTTATTTAGAAGTTGTAATTAAAAAAATTATATATAATCACACTTATTTAGAAGGTGAGATTAAAAAAATATATATAATCACAATTAAATGAAAAGTGATATAAAAAATAAATATTATTACACACGACCAAATTAAGTGTGATTAAAATATCAATCTAATTTTTTTTGATCACACTTCTAATAAAAGTGAGATATTTCATTTGTCAAAGTGTGATCTTCAACTGTTTTTGTAGTAGTGACTCAACCCTTGACAGATAGAGATACAGATTGATACAAAGACTGATCCCCCCTCCCCCCTCAAAAAAAAGAGGGAAAAATAAACTGATCAAAAAAAAAAAAAGGGAGGGAAAAATAATTTAGGAAAACTGATCCCCCCCCCCAAAAAAAAAGGAGGGAAAAATAATAGACTATTTTTTTTTTTCATTATTGCTTAATATGTCAAAATTCTTCTTTCAAAATTAGTGACAAAATAATTTTCTCACTAAAAGGCCTAAAAATATTAAAAAATATTAGTGACGAAATTATATTTCTCACCAAATGGTCTTAAAATATTTAAAATCAATTTTTTCAAAAAAAAAAATATTATTGGTGACGCAAATATATTCCTCATTAATAATTTTTTAATTGTTGAAAAAAAAAAATTCTCACCAAAAGTTTCAATATTTTGGCATTATCAAAAAAAATTAGTGGGAAAAATTTAGGTGACGAAACTTATTTTTTTTCTCACCTAAAAGTAAGTATTTATTGATGGAAATAAATTTCGTCACCTATTATTTTTATATTTTTATTATACGTGACAAAATTTAAAATTCTTCATGGATTATTCTTATTTAGTGACGAAATTTGTTTTCTTCACTAATTTTCGTCACCATACCAATACAAAGAATAAGAGAAAGAGACACCAGAAAAAGAGCAAAGAGAAATCACGTACCAAATCACCATGCGAAGAAAATGTGGCCGTTACCGGCAAGGCTACTAGTGGCGGCGACGATCGGCAAGGCTAATAGAGGCGACGATGGCGATCGGCGTGGTGGAGGAGCAAGAGGTAAGACAAATTAATACCCTATTTTGATAGAGAGAGAGATAGAGATGATCAACAGAAAAGGGGTAAAAAAAATTAATACCCTATGTTTTTTTTAATTGCCGCTCAATATATCAAAAATTTCCCACCAAAATTGGTGACAATATTATTTCCTCACCAAAAGATATCAAAAATATTAAAATGTTTTGCTGACGAAAATATATTCCTCACAAATAATTTTATAATTAGTGACAACTTTTTTTCTCACCAAAAGTCCCAAAATTTTGGCGCCACCAAAAAAAAGTAGTGGGAAAATTTTTGGTGACGAAACTTAATTTTTCCTCACTTAAAATGAAGTATTTATTGACGAAAATAAATTTTGTCACCTATCATTTTCATTTTTTTATTATATGTGACAAAATTTATAAATTCCTCACGAATTATTTTTATTTAGTGACGAATCTTATTTTCTTCACTAGTTTTCGTCACCATAGGTTACTTTTGTTGTAGTGTCATAAAGTATGAATTAGACTTGGTTCTCACCTTCATTGGAGAACATTGCATTCTACTCACAATCAAGGGTGAAAAGAAGGTTCCTTCAAAGTCACAATTGGGCAAAATGTTAATAAATATTTGGATGGAGAAAATTAAAGATGTTAAAAATGGTCTCTTACGCTAAGAGATTGGTCTAGTGGATGATGAGACATTTTCTTATAAGTTGTGATGTTACTGTTGCACTATGTAGTTTTTCATTTCCCTATTTTCTAAATGAAAAAAAATATATATACATGCACTATTTTTATCTAAATGTAATTGTCTCTCAAGATGTCTATATGTTTGAGTTTTATTGTTGCGCTATTATACTATTTCATTCTCCTATTTTTCTTTTATTGAATGGAAAAAATTAAGCTAATAAATGAAATTTTTTCTCATGATATCTAAGGGTTGAGTTTTATTGTTTTTCCATAAAGTATTTCATTTCTCTGTTTTCCTTCTACTAAATGTAAAAAAATATGCATACACTTATTTTTGGCTAATAAATGAAATTTTCTCTCATGATTCATTTCAAGCTTCACTTATATATAGATCCACTCTAGGTAGGTTGGCTTCTAGAGACTATTAATTAAAAACTGTATCCCTAAACCAGTTTTACTTGCAATTACAAGATTATTTTAAAATTTTAAGAGTGTGTGAACAAAACATAAATTTTTAAAAAAAAGTTCAAGTAAACTGTGTTTAAAAAATGAATGTTAAAAAAATCCAATTTTTTTTTGTCGGCAAAAGAAAAGAACTTTATTAATGAGAACAACATACAATGCATATGAAATTACATCAATAAAGAAAATGCAAGTGCAAAACGCATATTATTATCATTTAATTAGTCTCAAACTAGGAGTTCAAAAAAAAAAAAAAAAAAAAAAAAAAAACTTATTATCATTTGAAATTATAAATTTTTATTATTTTAAATCAATTAAAACTTGTTGAGCGAGCAACCTAGCAACATTGCATTGGTTCATAGAGTCTTCAATGCAAAGGTTTGCAATTGGACCAATCAAAAGCTTCCATTTACGTCAAACATGAAGGCGCTATTATACTATTTCATTCTCCTATTTTTCTCTTATTGAATGGAAAAAATTTAGCTAATAAATAAAATTTTCTCTCATGATATCTGAGGTGGAGTTTTATTGTTGTGCCATATGATATGTCATTTCTCTGTTTTCCTCCTATTGAAAGAAAAAAAATATATACATGCACTTATTTTTAGCTAATAAACGAAATTTTCTCTCATGATTCATTTCAAGCTTCACTTACATATAGATTCACTTTAGGTAGGAGTGTTCGCGGTTGGGTTGTGGCCTCGGAACCTTCAATCCGTCATCCGTCCGAAACTAGGCGGATTGGAGAAAATTAATCCGCAGCCATCCACTGGATTGGCGAATGCTGATTGACAGATTGGCAGATTGACGGATGAATGCGAATCGGTTTGGCGATTTTTATTTTTATAAATTTTCAATATAATAAAACCTGTCGACATAAAATTTATTTTATTTTTTTTTTGGGATAACAATCCAATTTGCCCTCTACAAGCTTAGATACCATTCCATGGGAGCTAGAAAAAAAAAAAATATCAGCTTATAAGGGCTAACCCAAACAAGGCCTACAATGGGTCCAGCCCAAACAAATATCATATCCCCCATCTATATAAAGAGAGGACACCCCAAAGAAGGTGAGAGGTTATCTCTCTCTACACTACACACCAACACTCTTTATTTTCTATACCTTCATTCTTTCAATCAAGTGACTAATTTCACCATTGGAGTGTCTCCGGTCGGCAATCCCGATTGGATGGCGCTGATCATGCTCATCTTTGCAAATCTACAGGAACAAAGTTTATCTCATCGTTGGATCTCTACAATCCATGTGAGAGGATCTTCTTAGTTTCACAATTGGCGCCGTCTATGAGAATCGTCTGAGAGAGTTCAACGAAGTAAATAGCAAACATGTTATTGTAAGTAAAAAATCAACAACACTTTGATGGTGATCTACCTTCTCACTAAACTGATTTTTAAAATTATTTTTAAATGTGCTCTTGAATTGTATATACTTATGCGTCCGAAAACAAACTCTATCAAAACATTTGTTTATAGTGAATGTTGTTGGAAAAGTTTTAAAACAACACAGAATTTATAGATCTACTTTAGTGTCTTGATTTTCTCTCTCTAAAACTGGGTTTTACATTCTTATTCATGAAAATAGCTTTTCGGCAATAGAACAAAGGTTGTTCGGTTAAACCCACCCTTGGATCTTTATTTATTTATTGTCTTACAAAACTTATTTTAGAGTTGTTTCTTGGCATGTATATACATATGTCCTCATAAATTGTGTGAAAATCATTGTTGATTGTCAATATTGATTAAAAAGTAAAAGGTTGAAAGGCAAGACAGACTGCAGATCTACAATTAGGTTTATACTCTCTCTCTAGAATTTGACAACCATGTTTTGAAGCTTCAACGACAATGTCTTCTTTCTAGGAAGCTATCCGGTAAGAAAAATGGGGCACTAAGGCTATTCGACTCCTTCGCCAGAAAATCATTCTTGTATTCGACAACTTCACTCTGCAAGCTTTGACATCTTGTATTCGGCACATTTTTAGTCACGAGGTAAAGGATGTCCGAAGTGGCATACTCTTTCGAAGACCTATGCAATCATTCATATGGTGAGAAAAGAGAACATACATCACACCAAGTAACCCAGTCACACCCTTGTCACTAGGGCCATCGGCAATTATAATCCTCAAGAATGGAGCCGAACTACATCATCGAGCTCAACAAGCCCATGCACGGTCATTTAACTGCTGCAAATAGCTGACCGACTAAATTGTCAAACTCTCAGCAAAGTCGAATTCATCTTGCCGAATTGCCGAGTTGCCAACCAAACTTGTAATAGTAAATAGCCGAATTCCTTTTGCCGAGTTGCCAAGGATCAATGCTTGCAATGCCTCGTTTTGGTAAACCAAGGAAATTGCCGAGTTAGTGACCAAGTGTTTCGGCAATCCAAACAACCGAGTTGCCAATTATTCACTACCGAGTGTGAATTCAACACCCGTTATGAGCCTCGCCAAGCACACTTCTCCGCCGAGCACATTCTACCAAGAGCACTTTTTGTCGAAAACCTTCCTTCAGCCGACCACGCTTTAACCAAGGCCAAGAGCCGAATGACACCCACAAGGTGATGGAAGGATCTTATTTTTGGTCAACTTTTGGAGGTCCGACGGCATCCAAACAAAGGCAAAATGAGGCGTCTGAATAATGGAATGAACACTAGGCCGAGAGATAAATCTAAT